ACGCCTCCTGCAGTTAATGCGTTCCTGCAGGCACAACTGTCGAACCCTTTCCTAGGCGGAACAAGAACCTCTTCTTCCTACGAACTCCTTGTTGTTGTAGCCTGAGATGTCTGTACCGAACTCTAGCTACAGTGCTGAATATTAGGAGTGCCGAATACCTCTCTTTCTGTAGTCGAATTCCTTTTGCTTGAATAACCGAAGGAATAAAAGATCTGTTTCCCATGTAACGGCTTCTGTATCCAATATGTGAAAACGCAGCAAGCAGAACAAGGGAAAAATAGAAAGGGAAAAAAATACAAGATTTGAAATGCAAGAACACAAGCACAAGAAAACAACCAATTACGTGGTTCGGTCCTTAGTTCTACATCCACGAGAGAGAATCACCAATAAGTACACTAAGGCAAAGAAGAATTACAGGCTTTTTACATCAAGGAATGAATACTCCTCTAGATCTCTCCCTCTCGAAACTACCTCGATACAAGATCTAAAACTTTTCCCTCAATTCTTGGAGCCACTTCCCTTCTTCTTCTTCTTGGACTGATTTCCTTCCTCTTCTTGGTCTTCTTTCTATCTTCCTCCTTGTAGTGATCTCTTTCATCTACAAGCCTATCTTCTTTCCTTGTAGTAGACTACCCCCCTTAATTTTCTACAAGCCTCCCTCATTTATTTATAGATGAGGCCCCCCCAAGTAGACCATAGAAGCTCACAAGGAAATCACACGTATGTCATTGCCTTAGTTAACCAATTGAGAGTCATATATAACAATTCTCCTCCTTGACTCTCAATTACGACGCTTCATAGTAGAAATTCCCTCCACCTTGCCCCGAGGGGCCCTTAGCGCTTGGTTGAGTCTGCTAAGTTCAGACAGTTCCTGAATTTAGCAATCACAATTTTTCCGAGTAGAGAATATTGTCCCTTTTTCCTTATTCCTTTCACGACGATACAAGAACCTTTAGTTACTCTGATATGACCATTTTCCGTCTTAAAAGAGTTTTCGCTTGTCTCCAACATACCCAAAGAAATCAGATTTCTTTTGAGCTCCGGTACGTACATGACATGGATGCAATATTCTTTCTGCTTCATCGAACATCTTTATTCTGATTGTTCCACTGCCGACCACCTTGCAATCCTTGTTATCTCCAAGTAGTACGGACCTACCATTTGACAGTTGCAGTGTTTCGATTCAGTCCTTATGAGGACACATGTGGAAAGAGCATCCCGAGTCGAGGATCCACTCCTGCTGGATTCTGATTCGGTGATCATTAGGGCTTCAGCTGAATCATAGTCGTTCGAGGCTATGCTTGCTTCTCCAGGATCTTTAGGATTTTCTTGATATTTGTTCTTCCTGTCAGGACAGTTCTTTTTGACAGTTCCTCTTAAAGTGATCATCCTTGTGACAATGATAACACTTAAAAGATCCTTTTGATGACTGATTTCCGCCCTCCTTTCTTAATCTCGATCTGCTATGACCGTTTCTTGAATCTTTCTTGTCTGATCTTTCTCTAACAGTAAGATTGTCTCCGCTAATTTTTTTGTCCATCTCATATTTTCTTTGGAGTTCATTGGCTCTAATCAGCGCTTGAATCTCTTCCAGAGAAATTGTTTGCACCCTTCCATAGAGCATCACATCTTTGAAATGCTTGTAGCTGTTAGGAATGGAGTTCAACAACAGTAATGCCTTGTCCTCGTCATCCTTCTTGACGTCGATGTTTTCAAGATCATCCATGATCTTGTTGAATTCGTTAATATTCTCTGAAACTTATTTGTCTTCGTGCATTTTGAAGGAGTATAGACGTTGCTTCAAGAAGAGCCTGTTAGCCAGAGATTTCGTTAAATAGAGTAGTTCGAGTTTGGCCAGAGCGCTTGAGCCGTCGTGCCCCTCAAAACTTCCCTCAGAACTTTATTGCAAAGGCTCAAGATTTTTAAACTATGAGCCCTGTCCAGAATCCCGTTCTTTTCTTTCTAGGTGTCGGCTGTCGCCGGGCCTTGCAAGGCTTCTATAACGCCTTGCTGAACCAAGACAGCTTTCATCTTCACTCTCCACAGGCCGAAGTCGTTTTTCCCGGTGAATTTCTCAATGTCGAACTTGGCGGTTGCCATTATCGTGGTTGGAATTCTCACAGACGGCGCCAATTGTTGTGAAACTCGTTTCACCAAACACCTGAAAAAATTACAAAAGAACTTCTGCAAATTGAGTTAGATGGAAAAAACTGTCAGCTGAACTTCTCTTGATCACCAAGAACAGCTCCTTGTGTTGTAGTCGAATGAATCACCGAAGAGCTCATTGCTGGACAACTGAAGGAATGGAAGAACAGTGCTTCTGTCTTCGAAGAAGAGAATCCCAAATGCTGCCGTCTTCCTCACTCTTCAAACTCCCTGCTGAAGACCTTACCACAAGGCAAGGATTGAAATTGCCGAAGACACCTGCAGTTAATGCGTTCCTGCAGGCAGAACTGTCGAATCCTTTTCTAGGCGGAACAAGAACCTCGTCTTTCTGCGAACTCCTTGTTGCGGTAGGCTGAGATGTCTGTACCGAACTCTAACTACAGTGCTGAATATTAGGAGTGCCAAATACCTATCTTTCTATAGTCGAATTCCTTCTGCCTGAATAACCGAAGGAATGAAAGATTTGTTTCCCGTGTAACGGCTTATTTATCCATTATGTGAAAACGCAACAAGCATAACAAGAGAAAAACAGAAAGGAAAAATATGCAAGAAATGAAATGCAAGAACACAAACACAAGAACACAACCAATTACGTGGTTCAGTCCTTAGACCTACATCCACGGTAGGGAATCACCAACAAATACACTAAGTCAAAGAAGAATTACAGGCTTTTTACATCAAAGAATGAACACTCCTCTAGATCATTCCCTCTCGAAACTACCTCGATACAAGATCTAAAACTCCTCCTTCAATTCTTGAAGCCTCTTCCCTTCTTCTTCTTCTTGGACTGATTTCCTTCCCCTTCTTGGTCTTCTTGGTCTTCTTTCTATCTTTCTCCTTGTAGTGACCTCTCTCCTCTATAAGCCTATCTTCTTCTCTCTTAGTTGACTCCTCTTAATTTCCTGCAAGCCTCCCTCATCTATTTATAGATGAGCCCCCCACTAAGTAGACCATAGAAGCTCACAAGAAAATCACAAATATGCAATTGCCTTAGTTAACCAATTGAGAGTCATATATAACAATTCTCCTCCTTGACTCTCAATTATGACACTTCATAATAGAGATTCCTTCCACCTTGCTCCGAGGGGCCCATAGCCATTGATTGAGTTTGCTAAGTCCAGACAGTTTCTGAACTTAGCAATCACAATTCTTCCTGCCCAAATCACTTGATACTCTTGCTGCAGTTTGCCTTCTGCGTGTTCCAAGAACTCACTGCGTGCTGAAGTTATCCTCCCGGACTGTTCTTGGGGAGAGCCGAACACCAACTATGTAACGAAGCATCCAAGAACCTTGACGGCCGAACTCCCTGTAGCCAGGAAATATCTGCTTCGGTTGAAGGGATCGAACGAACAGCTGTGGGATCAAATGTCGATACCTTCCACCTCCTTAGTGCTGCCAA